AGCAACTAAACCGTCGTTCGCTCTAGGAGATCCGCTCCCGCCGATATTGAAGACAATTTTCCTGTGTGCTGAGTCATTTCTTTAACTTTGTCCGAGAAAATCTCTGACAGTGAGCAAGACGTCACATCTTGAAGCGCTCAAAGCATGTGTGTACGTGCACTGATCCAGTGGTTGTCACCAGTGTTGGGCAGTAACGAGTGACTAGTACGCAGTAACATCTGTCAGTAAGTAATACTGACAGATAAACTCAGTTATCATTACAATATGGTGTGTTTGTGTTTACTTGTTTAATTCATTCATTGTTGGCCGGCTGCAGTCGACTGCTTCCTTTTTACGACGGATTGCGCGTTGCTATGACAGCCGCTGTACAACAGGTGAACAGAACGCATCGTGAGCATGTATTCAGACACGTGCAGGCATGGAAAGTCGTGGCAAGAGCAAGAGGAATCGGAAATATGTTCATTTATTTGACTTTTGTTAAGCATAAAGACGAAAACATTTTGGCCAAACGTAAGCTTTGTCTTTCTGGCTCAAAAGGTCCTCCATCTACCGCGACGAACAGCAACTCAAATTTGCCGAAACACCCCCGCGAGCTACGTGCCTCGCCAAAGCCCGAAGCTAACCCGGCGTCAGGCCACCAAAACAACCGCGACTTGATTTTAACCAGACTGTTAGCCGGGGACACATCAACCAAACGTTTGCTCGGTACGTTGCTGAAAACATGCAGTCGGTCTCTACTGTGGCGTCACCTGCTTTGGAGCAGCTTGTTAGCGTGACGCCGTGCTCAGGCGGCGCAAGCCGAATGGGACAAAAATATTTTGCCACCTACTTGGATAAGACTGGAATATTCCAAAATGGAAACTGGGTTCAAGACAACATTTGAAGGACTCGACGACATCGCGACAACCGCGGTCATTTCCGGGGATGCCAGCCCGCACTGCTGCTCCTCAACGGTGGAAAACAGAATTGGCCTGTCCAAGGATTGGCAAAGCTTGGCACACGCATTCTTCTGTTTAAAAACGGTTCTACGCTTCTGTTCTACACCGTTGCTAGTTTCCAGACTTATGCTGTGAAGGAATATTTTTTTCAAGGGCTAAACACAGCGGCTTTTGTGATGCTGAAAGCCACTTTCGTTTTCTCTCTTTGAGTCTTGTCGAATACATTCAGCATGTTTTGTGTTCTTTATGTCAGAAATCCCTGTGATATTTTCACTTGCTGCTGGTCAGACTTGATGAAACTGAAATGATGCCGTCAGGGCTTTAAATGGAGCTTCAAAGAATGTTCATATTGAAAAAGTAACTCAAGAGTGACTTTTAACACCAATGCATTTCTTTTTGGTCAAAGAGTTATCGAGTTCGTTTTGAAATGAAGTCACAAGTAACTGCAACTCGTAACTGTTTTTTTTAATTAACTCGCACAACGCTGGTAGTCAGAGCATCAGGCAACTTGTTGCCACCCGAGACGAAACGACTAAGTATTCAGAGCAAAATTCTCTCTTTGAACCTCTCAGGAGATAAATAAGACAAAAGAGCCTGGAGCTGTGACTTAAATTGGATTTTCCGGACGAAATGCATCATTTGAAAGTCGATTGGTCACACGTGTGACAACCTTGCAGACTCGAGTAAAGCGTGCGGTAGGGTTTCACCTTCGCAGAGCATCACACGCACACATTTCAGCAGCAATACTCATGGGCAAAGTTAAAGTATGACATGAAAGTGTGTGTGGAAATGAGGCATCGCAGGAGGATTTTAAAACACTTGTTTTTTGTTTCTGCCTACTTTAAGGTCAAACGTCCATTTTAGACATTAAATGACGTGCGTTGAGTAAGGATGCCTTTTTTGTTTTCCGTTCCAGGCTCCATACTACGGTCGGGCATAATAATTCATCGATCATGAGTAGTCGTTTAACTATTGAGTCTGGAAAGGACATAAAAGTTTTTGGTCCCGTCAATGTTTTATTTGAAAATGCTTAAGGAATGAATTGCGTCCTGTGATGCCTCTTGTCTTGAAGCGTTAGTGAGTGTTAATACCTGCTTTGAAGCTGAGTTCGTCAGCCTCCTGGCCCGAGTAATCATAGAGCGCCCGGACTCGCACACCCTCTACCTGCGGGTCCCCTTTGTCCCCCGCTTCTCCAACACCGTTCAAAGCCAACTTCTTTGGGTTCTCCTCGTCTGACCAGTCGGAAGAATCATCCTTCACAACCCTGAGTGAGCAGATGATAAAATTGGGAGCAGTCACATTTTGGTACATTAAAGATGGCCGCCAAATTTCTGGTGGAGAGACGACCAGCTTGTACAAACCCCAATTCCAATGAGGCTGGGACGTCGTGTAAAATATTAAGTCAATAAAAGCCACATCGACAACGCCCAGTAACATCACCAGCTTCTTTGGGAGCGAGCTGATCTGAAATGGAAACGCGTGCTGTGGTCTGACGAGTCTAAATTAGAAAATGTTTATTTGAAATTATGGATCAGCCCAGTGGTCCAGTGGTTAGCGCGTCAACCTCACAGTGCAGAGGTACCGGGTTCAATTCCAGCTCCGGCCGACTTGGTGGAATTTGCATGTTGTCCCCGGGCCTGCATGGATTTTCTCCAGGTACTCCGGTTTCTTCCCACATTTCAAAAACATGTATGGCAGGTTGATTGAGAACACTGAATTGTCCGTAGGTGTGAGTGTGAGCGCGGATATTAATAGATATTAAGTTAAAAGTAACTGGGCAATTAGGGTAACCATAAAGGTAATTAGAGTCCAGTTACCAAGCGGTATTTACTTTGACTGCTAATAAGCTCACTCAGCATGAAATGACAAAATAGGCAGGAGATAAGCGCTTTCACCCTTCAGAAAAGCATTTGTGACCATTGCAGAGTCTGCTGCAATGAATCCACAAGCTTCTTCTTTCCATCCAAATATAACAAGCTCGAAACCCTGAAAGGAAAAAAAAAGAGTACACAGGTCTCCGTGTGCTGCCGAAGCCCTTTTAACGTGGCACCGTGCCCGCTTTTCATCCATGGGATGTGCTGTGTATGACTCGTTTCGAGTCAAACATTTTTGCTCGAGGACAAACTGCAAGGGGAGGGTGAACATAGGCTAATGATGTCCCTCCCCCCCGCCCCACTCACACACACACACACTTCTCAGCTAACTCGAGAGCTTTCGTAGAAAGGATTCTGTCAGTCGTCATCTGTACCTGTGGGTAAAAAACAAAAAAACAAAAAAAAAAAGCAAAAAAGGACGTTTCGCTTCTCTCACAGAAGCTTCGTCAGCGGTAGACAACCCTGAAGTCTCCGTGAAGACTCCGGGAAGTTGCTCTGCGCTAAAAAGCTGAGCGTGGCCTGTTTGAGGACTGGGTGGGGATGGTTAGTCACGCCCCTATTGGTTTATTAGAGGCCCATTGGTTTCTAAATTCCCTATCATTGGGTCTTGATTAGGCCTATTGTTTGGGCTAAGGCTGAATAGCTACTTTCAGTTAGCCTGATCAGCATGTCTATGTCCCTCTTTGTAACCCCTTTGGGCAAGGACCAACACTAAAAATTTCATTATAGAGGAGGAACTAACAGACTTACATTCTGGTCCTCAAAATCTTGCTGTTGTCCATAGTGGCCTCATTTACTCAATTACAAGCGTGCCAAGCGTCCATTAGGGGCTGAGGTATTTATGAGGGGGCTTTTGTTTGTGCAAATGCGCTTTAAAATCAAATAATATATATTCATAAACGGATTGTTCATATACCCTATTTTCTGTACTATAAGGCGCATACTAAAAGCATTCCATTTTTCTCAAAAGCCGACAGTGCGCCTTAAAGACCGATCCGCCTTATATACGGATCAAAATTCTGATTTCCTGGTAGTATTTTAAATGTTCTGCAAAGCGCTTTGTTAACACTGCAACGGTTGTGAAAGCGCCATATAACTTAAGCTGTTTTGGATTGTATTGAATTCTCTTTAGCGTAGCACCATCTAGTGGATGCATAGTGCAACTGAAGCCACTATTGTAGCTTCTATTCTATGCGCCTCATAATGTGGTGCACCCTAAACATGAAAACTGTTTTAAAATAGGTCATTCATTGAAGGTGCGCCTTATACTCCGGAGCCCCTTATGGTGTGGAAAATACGATACTTAATGATTGCAATTAAATGCATTGTTTAACAGCTTACATTTCACTTTTATTTTTTTGTATTTGTTACATTTTTTATAACCTGCCTGAACTAGGTCCACCCTGTAAGCTTTACTCTCCATAAACTTTTTTTTACCCTCTATTTTTATTTTTTTTTAAGAACCAGACTTGGGACCGGGAGTGGCTGGTCACGGGGAAACTGCCTGGGAATCGAATCAGCGCCATCGATACGAAAAGCAGCAGCATGTACCACGACACTACCAACTCATTTAGTGCTCTACTTCACATTTGATGGTCCCAACCAACATTTGCTGTGAAGGTGAAGAGTGTCTTGTACCTGATTGCATTGTGGGTGATGGGACTAGGTGGGACGTCATTTCCTCCCGAGGAGACGATGTTGGTGAGGGTAACGACGCTGTCGTGAGAGTTTATACCTCGCTCCTTCCTGCTGATGGTCCGATTTGTCTCCGGAGTCCACTCCTGCGTGCGCACACATGCAATTAACATTGAGAATGCATTACAAGCAATTGAATTAGTAAACCCTGGAATTTTTGTGATTTTCTTATTTTTTTTTTCCAAATCAAGTCAGTTTTGCGAAATGTTTTCATACATTCACTAGCGATTTAGTGAGTCTGGGTGTGGTTTGATGCAGTTCAAAGTTAGAATGTTACCCAAGTTTTTTTCTGAAAAGAATACACATCCATTTCTGTAAAACAAAAATCTGAAGGTGACCACAGCTCTCACTTTATTGGGTCTGGCTGTTTTTCTTTCTAATATACTTACTGTTCTTATTGGATTGTTTTTATTCCATACCTGAAGGTTTTTTTTTTTTGTTTTCATACCAGTGTTCAGTTGAATTAATAATAATGACTTTGCTCCAGCGTCAGCGGAGGTTAGAGATGGACTACTGTGTGTTCCAATTTAAAAATCTGGGTTGCCACTGTAGTAATGTCATTCTGTCGTAAACCAAGGACCCCAAGTATTGCTGATTTTCAGTCGGTATGCGTCTGACTTGTTCCCACTCAGCTCTATATCCAGAGGCACGTAGTCAAACACTAATTTGTCATTCAAGCAGCCAGTCGTCGTGGCAGGTTTATGCCAATTTATCCAAATTGGCCTTTGGGGGACAAATAATCCTGCTCTGCAAATTTGCTTGGTCATTAGTAGCCGGGAAAACATGCCATGACCAGAAAGACAAAAATATCAACAACAACAACAAAAAAACTGTTTTTCGACATTATTTATGAGTTGATGTGTGTAGAATTTGAGAGGAAACAATGACTTTATTCCATTACTTTCCCATTCATTTACTATTTTGGAATGACTAAAAGCAAAATGTGGAAAAAGTGAAGTGCCGTGGATACGTTCCAGTCGCATTGCAGGTCTGAATTCCTGCAGTGCACCTCGCCTGACTCAAATGCAATCACCGATTTGCCTTTTGAGCTTAATTATGCTGCAGAACAGTACAGTGATCTTCAGTTGAAAAAAATACCTCTTACAACCAAGTTTCCCTCTAATTTTCTATACTTCTGAACGGACCAACAACATCAAACATGCACAAACCAGTATCACACCTGAGATCATTACAAGTGACATGATGCTGGAATGTTTAAAAAAAAAAATCTAAATACCTTTATTTCAAAATAGAATAAATCATCGAAGACTGATTTGTTTTACGAATAAAATGAGGTCAAGTTTGTTCCTTTTATTTGAGCACACGGGTGATTTAAACCATAATTAACTAAGTCTCAATACAATCTGTATAAATAAGGTCCCACATTGTCCACTCTTAAATAATGGAATACGTGTCATTTAATAAAACACAAACATTTATAGTCACCTAAACTCTCTCATCATAAGGAGTGGCTTCATATGACAGCACAACCGATTCCGTTTACATGACCACATCTGATGTCTGCTTATTATTGTCTGTTATGATGCCCTAAAAATAGGACAAGAGGATTCCAATTATGTCCTCACTTGCGAATCAGCATCATAAGTTGAACTGTGTATGGGTGGACAGCTGGAAGGAAAACAGCGAACGCTGCTGAGTGACTGCATGGGACCTCTTAGAATAGTCCTGAACAGCAGATTTGTGATTTCAGGCCTCTCCGAAGTGAAGAGATTGGGTCTATCTTCACAGAGTAAACACACAATGATGAGTGCGCTACTTTACGTTTTCCTTTTATCTTACAAGTTAATTTTTGGGGGATGGGGGGGGGTTTTATTGTATATTTTTTTGGGGGGGGGGGGGGGGTCAATCTTCAGTTTGTAAATATTTTGGGGCATTAGAAGCCCAGCTTTCCACTAAAAGTCTGTGGATAACTATCTGTGTTTTTGTGTGTCTGTGTGTGCGCGGCAACATTCCTCTGACCCACTCAGGACTTCGTAACACAAAAGGGCTTTCACAAAAACCCTATTTAGTATTCAGTTTGTCTGACGCGAACTCACACAAAGTATTACTGACTGGCACGTACATATAGGAAAGTTAAAGATGAATGAGTGTTTTGACAATATATGATTGCATCTACAGTAATTGATCATTTCAAAATTTAACTGGCAGTCTGACGATATTGTTCACGTTTTCTTCACGTCTATTCGCGTATGTGCGTCCCCACCTCATACTGTGGCCAGTTCATGCTCATGCCAGGCCCGTGGGTGTTTCTCCACCATCGCAGATCTTCTGTCTCATTAGCTGCTTGGATGGTCTGACCAAGGTCCCGGTACAGCTCTCGGAACCTGTCAGAGGAGGTGGCAGGTTAATACTCACATGCACACACAAGTCTGTGCACTGCTGAGAGTATTTCATTAGCGGTGCATTTTGATTAGGCTGATTTAATTATTTTCCCCATTTTCCATTGAACAAAAAGATTATTTAAGTCACATCCACTAAACAAAAAAAAGTTTGGTGCTGCATCTCCACAAGTTTCCTATTCATTAGCATAGATGATGTTGAATTGCAAAGTTACCATGACATTGCTGCTTGTATGTGAACTTGGCAACTTGGAAATAAGACCACAGCAACGGCAACTTGAAATCTTGCGGCAATAAATCATGAACTGCATCTGAATCTTAGAAATGACTTCTTCTTGGTTACATGGGGGCAACAGGCAGCAAGGTGAGTGAACATGCTGCTGCATCTGCTTCAGTTCTAATGCCGAAAGATGTTTTGGATTTGGAAGCACATTCTCTTTTGTTGGGTTAATTATTCATGCCAGCACAATGGCAATTTTTTTTTCCACTACGTGCAAATGCGACAGCGCCCAATTCACAAAGCAGATGTTGCTATGGCCCGGTGGTCCAGTGGTTAGTGTGTCGACCTCACAGTGCAGAGGTACCGGGTTCAATTCCAGCTCTGGCCTCCCTGTGTGGAGTTTGCATGTTCTCCCCGGGCCCGCGTGGGTTTTCTCCGGGTACTCTGGTTTCCTCCCACATTTCAAAAATATGCATGGCAGGCTGATTGAACATTCGAAATTGTCCCTCGGTGTGAGTGTGAGCGTGGATGGTTGTTCGTCTGTGTGTGCCCTGCGATTGGCTGGCAACCGGTTCAGGGTGTCCCCCGCCTACTGCCCGAAGACAGCTGGGACAGGGTCCAGCACCCCCCACGAACCTAGTGAGGATAAAGCGGATCAGAAAATGGATGGATGGATGAATGTTGCTTGGGTGAAAATAGTTACTTTTCCTATCTTTCTCATACTTCTTAGCACTTATTCGCACTTGCAGTTCGGTGCAATTGTGCAGATAACATCACCGGGCGTCCCATACAACAAGATTGCGAAGAGCAACTTCACTCTAAGACTGTGCATGATGTTGGCAACAGTTTTGGTTTTCAGGATGGAACATGTGGAAGAGCGTTGGCAGCACAAAATGAAGGTTTAGGCCGGGGATGGAATTGCAAGTGTTAGTGGAAAACGTGAATAATTAAGTTACGGAAAAGAAATATATCCCTTCAATACCCAGCATTCACACAAAAGCCGTGTTTTGTTTGATTTAACTCATCCTGAGTGCCCATCCTTGCATTTAAAACTTGGGACAGCACACAAAAAACTGGCTTGTGTTTTGAATGGCATGAACTTTGAATAACAATATACAGTGACAAGTAAAATAAAAAAATGAAAACAATTACACACACACACAGACACACACACATACACATACATACACACGATGATGTGTTTGGTGTTCAGACCTCATTGGATGTTGCCAACCAGGGTTGTTATAGTAATGGTGGACTGTTTAAACAGAATGTGAGACCAATAGTTAATGGACAACGGCAGGGGTTTTCCATTAACTTCAGTGTACACAAATTTAGCGCAGGCACACACAAGGCATGCAAGACTCACATTCCTTTAATTTGAGTCAGGAATCGTATATCAATATATTTTAAATTCAGCACGGGAAAAATCTGCGTATGTTAGATGGGAAAAAAAGCATGATGTTGACCCACACCCTTATATTGTCAGAATAACAATTTAACATTATTATTGTTATATATTTTAAAATAAATATGTCTTAATAATAATTTAAAATATATTAATGCTAAATGATGAATAGTGCATTTTTTTAATCTCAGTTTTAAATGGCTCAAAACGTTTTTTAGGACAAGGTCATTGTTGTTCACCGTTCCCGCAAATTTGACATAGCCAGTGTTACTGTTTGATGAGGCCAACTATGAACTTTCTGAACCTAATTCTAAGAGGTGGTTTTTTTGGGTGGGGGGGGGGGAAGAAAACACAAACTGCACATGACCACAATGCAACAAACCCAGTGAAGCCATGTGAGGGTAACAAAGCTCCAGGTGTTTTTTTACAAAAGAGGTCATGTGCATTTTTTTTTATTTTTCAACATGCCAGTCACCCAAAGCATACAATTTACATCCAACAAAAAAATGGTGTCAGGAAAAGATAAATATCTCAGAAATGTCCGAGACAGAGCCCAGACCTAAATCCAGTGGAAAGTGGAGTACACCAAAGAGGGATTGGAGATGTATTATGCAATGTTTTTCACAGTTCAAAACAGCTTCCAGGACTTTAATAGATGAATGCAGCATGCTTTTGTCAAAATACCCCAAGAATCATCTGCGGTATATATATAATATATACCGCATATTATTTACACCCCATTTCCGTTCATGTGTCTGTGTCCTACCCTTCTTTTCTGGACAGGTCAAGGTGTGTGTGGATATCCAGCAGGACCTCTTTAAAGAAGCACAGCCTCTTGCGCTCAGCTTCCTGGGTGAGGTCAAACACCTGCTCCATGTCCTCCATGTAGCGGGGGTTGCAGCGGTTCAACTCGTCCAAGGCCTTTTCATAACGCTCTTTGGCCTGCAAAACACACAACCTTTACTCAGGAAAATCGAGCTGCATTACTGCACACACTGACCCGTGCAATACATTCCATGTTTTTAAATCAAGATGTACATATCGTGCTTATCAAGGCGAGGTGGGGCATTTTTTCAGTAGCATGAAGTGCTTTTATGCGGACTGTTTCAATTGCAGTGAGCTCTCAACCACCACTCTGACTAGGAATGGGGCATTTCAAACTGAAATGACCTATTTATAGCCAAAGCAGTGGGCAGGCTGACCATGTTTCTCAGTCCGAAGTTCAGAACTTTCAAAAACAAGATCGATTTTTTTTGGGGGGGCGGGGCAGAGGGGTGGTTCAAGGAGGCAAGTAAATACCTATATTGGTTATGCTCATGGAAATGCCAACAGAACGATCAGATGTCAGTAAAACCTATTTCATAAAGCAGCAACACAGTTCACTTAACCAACAGCAAGGTATAATATTGACTCATTAACGTTGAACTCTCTTGCCGCTGCTCTAGTTCCATGTTCAACTGCGTAACCGATCGCCTTAAGTTTGAACTCTGCGTTATCAGCATGTCTCGAGCAAGGAGCCATTTTGGGGGTCGAAATATTACCGTAATGACCATACACAAGGTGCATCGGATTTTAAGGCGCGCTGTGAGCTTTTAAGAAAATGAAAGGCTTTTAGGTGCGCCTTCTAGTGCGGAAAATACGATAATGTAGAGGCGCTTTAAGATCAGCACGTAGCTGGAAGACGAAATAAATCACCAGTTTAATGATGCCATACTTGACACGGACTGCTACTCTGAACTCTGACTATGAAGAGTACTAAATATAGATTAGTTTCCACCATTTTTGATGTTATCTCACTCTTCGTGGAATCATCATGCAGGGTAAAACCTATTTCATAAAGCAGCAACACAGTTCACTTAACCAACAGCAAGGTATAATATTGACTCATTAACGTTGAACTCTCTTGCCGCTGCTCTAGTTCCATGTTCAACTGCGTAACCGATCGCCTTAAGTTTGAACTCTGCGTTATCAGCATGTCTCGAGCAAGGAGCCATTTTGGGGGTCGAAATATTACCGTAATGACCATACACAAGGTGCATCGGATTTTAAGGCGCGCTGTGAGCTTTTAAGAAAATGAAAGGCTTTTAGGTGCGCCTTCTAGTGCGGAAAATACGATAATGTAGAGGCGCTTTAAGATCAGCACGTAGCTGGAAGACGAAATAAATCACCAGTTTAATGATGCCATACTTGACACGGACTGCTACTCTGAACTCTGACTATGAAGAGTA